GGCGCCAAAAATGATGGTGTAAATTACTTGACCGGTCAAACTATACTAGACCGGGTCTAGAATAGTTCGCTCGATTTGGCAAAGTAAGAAAGGTAAAAACACGCAAATTGACCGGTAAGACTTTAGGTGGAACACCTGTAGCCCAATTCATATTATAACGGAGAATGCACGAGTGCTTTTACAAGGGAGTTTTAGAGAGAATGAATTCGGATCCCTCTTTCTGAGGTTTACATGAGTATTTATACTAGGCTAAGGGGACAGTACCACGTGCGCCCACGTGAGGGCATGCTGCTGATGTGGTGCGAGGTGACTGGTTTCGTCCTCGAGCTGCCTTGTCGCCTTGTGAGGGGGATCATTCCCTTTGTCGAGTAGCGCCTTGGATGGATTCTTCAGCATCTCCAGTTGTCCTCTACTGACACGGGTCGCTACACGCCAAACCCTCGCAGATCCTCTTCTGCCGACACTTTCCAACCCCAGAAACTACACCGGGTAATCTCCGAGGGATGAATTTATCGAAGTCTGGAACAAATAGGATGACAACGTAGTTTTTACGTTGGATTCGTCTCGTTGAACCCAACACAATGGTATAAATTTTATATTTTCTTAACAAATATTTAAAATAAACTCCAGGTCCGTCTGAATAATTAATTAAACTATTCTTAATTTATTAATTCCGATGGGTTGGGTTTCGAGATGTTTCATTGTATGTCCGTATATGCATGTAGTATTGTTCTATAAATTAATTCAAGCGTTAGTATTTTCTCACCCAGTTTTCAGTAGAGTGCTGCACGCGAGCAGGAACCAGGGGTTTGTGAAGCAGTCTGATGATCAGTTATGAACTCCATAGTGGATGACTGGAGCTGTTACTTAGTAAGTATTAATTCTGTTGGTTTATTATTTATTTATTTAAAGGATATTGTCTTAATTAAGGCTTCGGCATTGTTTGTTTAATTTCTCCGTTATGACTTGTTTGGATAATGATAAATGTTTTACCCTCAAATGTTTTGAAATTGTGTGCATGTGGATACGAGTTATGTTTTTATTTTGATTAAATTAAGCATTAAAAGATAATCTTAAAAATAAATTGAAAGAGAAAGTGAAACTACAAAGTGTGAAAGGAAATTTAAGTAAAAGATAGTTTTGCTACCATTAGTGTACACTAAAGCAAAAATAGGTATAGAGAAACACTCAATATCTGTAAATTTACAGACATTAGTTACTTTCTTCGTCCTTAGATATTCTTCACATTTGACATTTTTTAGTCAAAGTTTGTAAACTTTGACTATGGAAAATATATATTTTATTATGATACAAATTTAATATTAATATATTCTAATTAAAACATAGTTTTGAAATATAAAATTTTTATAAAACACATTTACGTATAAATATAGATATTAACAATCAAAGTACAATATTGGAGAGAGTGAATTGAAATAAAAAAATCCTGAGAGTATTGATTTTGTCATGGTATTTTCCAAAAGAAAAAACTTAATTGAGAGAGGATTAAATCATTAAAGTAACGTGCCCAAACAGAAGGGATTCGTGCATCGTCGTGACTGAAGAAGTGGGCCCACTCAAGCGCACCGTATAAAATCTCACCCGCTACCTTCTTCTTCTTCTTCTCTCTCTCTCCCAGCAACGAACTGAGTTAACGGCTTCTCCTCTCCCCTCTCTAACAACACCAACAGCTTCAATTCAGCTCCTAAGCTTCATTTCAAAACTTCTTCTTCAAGCCAAACTTCAACTGCTGAACTCTACATTTCTCTGAAACGAATTTGTTTCGCTTCAGCTGCAATGAAGCGGAAGCAGTCCCGAGAAGCCGTTGCCGAGCTCGATCCGCCGCCGCCTTCACAGTTACAGCTCAATTTCGCCGTGAAGAGGAACCTACGATCGAAGCTTCCTCGTAGATGCCGTTCTAAGTTCTCTCCGATTCTCCGCTCTGCTATGCTCTCGACTGATGCCTCATTCGCGTCCGGCAGATCTTCAGTGCGTCGCTCGGAAGTTAAGACTAGATCCGGCGAAACTGGGAAGAAGGACGTTCAATTGGAGTTCTCCGAGTCCTCGTGCGTGGAGTCGAATTCTGGAGCTTGTAGAGGTTACGGCGAATTGAAGTTGAAGTTCAAACTGAAGAAGCCTGAAAATGCGAACGGAATTGAGGATTCCGACGCGGCTGTACGATCGGAGGTTTTCAGCATTGAGAGATTTTCACTACCTGTCAAAGCTAGGAGGTCCGAGAGTCAGAACGAGAGCGTAACAGGAATGGCAAAGGAAATCGACGAGAGCGAGATTTCGAGTCAGACGAAATTTTCCGGCGAAGTATCCAATATCACGGCGGAGAAAGTGAAACGAAGTGAGGATGCGTTTGATTTCATTGAAAACGATGTCGTTTCGCTCAGTTCTGCTTTAGAATCCGCTGCTGAATCGAAATTTGCAGAGAGCAGAGCATTTGGTGACGAGGTGTCTAAGCCGGAATGTGGTGCGTGGGTCATACAGAAGCCTCTTGCAACCGACTTTGATCTGGAATGCTCGGAGCAGTTATTTCACGGAGATGAGGTTTTCGATGATTACTCCTCTGCGTACTCTGAGCTTCAGACGGATATTCTCCTGGAGAATTCCCAATTGGAGCTCTCCGATTATAGTCCGTCAATTTGGTGCGACTCAGGCAGCCAATTCTCTGAGCAATATAGCAGCGAGGATTGTCCTTCACGTACTTTCCAGTTGTTCCGTCAGTTCAGCGAAGAGTTCCACTGGTCAACCAATGCTCTGGAAGACTCGGCATACCTTGGAGATGACACCATTTGCGGAGATATCACTGTAAGACATTCAGAATTCAGGCATTTTTATAACTCAAAGCATCATTTTGTTTGGTTTGGTAATCAATTAATCTTATTCGGAATTTCTTAAGTAATTGTGGAATTTAGATTAACTCCAAATCCTGCTTAATCTGCATCAATTATTCCATGTCATTATCATTCCGGATTACATTTTATTCGTACATCTCAATCTCTCAATTCAGTGATGTTGCATTTTTATTGTTTGCCTGAAGTTGGGATTGGGAGAAGAGGATGAAGAGAGCTACAGGATGCTTAGAAGCAGAGAGAGAAGGCAAGTGTATTTAAGAGACTACACCAAGGAGTACTGCTCGGACACATGCTATGGCGAGCTGGTCATTCAGCAGCGGCTGAAGATGGTCCATTGGATTGTCCAGGTAACTTGTTGATAATAAAAATGGCTGGATGATTATTAACCCCTTCTTTATACCCTCCACATATATGTTCCTCCTGAACGTATTCGTTCTTTATAAGGTTATTGCATTTATTGTAGTATATACAGAGTATCTGATTTGTATGGGGTTGAAATTTGGAGTGATGTTTTATTATTTACATTTATTAGTGGGTGTAGGATTAAATGAACTCAAATAAGCATTCCTAAAGAGGAGATCAAAGGGTCTGTTTATTTTCATGCTTTTAAAAGGAAGATGGATATGGTCCCAACTCCCAAATGGTTTATATCTGTGGCTTTCTACATTTCTACTATCATTTTCCACCTTATGAACTCCATTAGTGTTATGGTGTAACCCTCTAAAAGTGCATTGCATTATATGCCTGAATTCTGATGTTGTTTCAATGGTTGCTTGATCATTCATTCTTGTGCAGCAAGCTGCAAAGAATGAACTTCAAAAGGAGACAATGTTCTTAGGAGTTAACCTCTTCGACCGGTTTCTAACAAAAGGATACTTCAGAGATGAGAAGAAACTTCAAATAGCTGGCATTGCTTGCCTAACTCTTGCCACCAGAATAGAAGAAAACCAGCCTTTGAACTGGTTAGGCTCACAGCTCGCTCATCTGATTTTTCCCCTCTTTTGAGTCTTATTTTAACTGAGTTTCAAAAAACAAACAAAATCACACTCTGAAAACAGATTTCTCAAACAGCCAATTTACCTGTCTGTGAGATATGGTAATGTAACCTACTGATTAACGACATTTCTGACGTTCAATTTGGTAATGCTCATCCAGTATTCGCAGTGAGAAATTTGAGGTAGGAACCAAGGTATACAGCAGAACCGAAGTGGTGGCTATGGAGTGGGTAGTGCAAGAGGTTCTTAGCTTCCAGTGCTTCCTCCCCACCATTTACAACTTCTTATGGTAAGTTTATGTGAAGAAACCCTTCTTGTCTAGAAGTACAGATCCTTAAGCATGCCTTAGTTACCACCACTATTTATGATTCCCTTAAACGACGCAGGTTCTACCTGAAAGCTGCTAGAGCTAGTGAAACGGTGGAAAACACAGTGAAGTATCTGGCACTAGTGACACTACTTGGCTGTGAGCAGTTGAGTTACTGGCCGTCAACCGTAGCTGCAGTGCTGGTTATCCTCACACTATCTTCCATGGGTCAGCATGTCTCCTGTGACCTTATCAGACAGGTAACAACAATTTTTTGAATTTAAAAGGTTCGATATGCTGCATTGATTTGAATCCACAAAACTTCGTACACAAGACGATATGTTTTTCATTGCTATGTCACATTGAAAACAACTGTTCCTACATTCTTGTGGTGATGCATATCATATAATTTACAAACATAAAGAATCTCATTTACAATTCCCTTTTTTTTCCAGTCTCATTCCAGAACCGATGATCGTGATCTACCCAAATGCATGAAGGTACTAAATAGAAACACTCGCATTGCTCATTTTGTTAAAACATTAACGACACGAGAAAAGATGATTCCTGGTTTCCTTATAAGCTGCATTAATACGTGGCAGAGCTTGAAATGCTTGCTGGGGTACAAAAAAATCCAACGCGGATAAGCATCCCAAGGGTTCAACGCCTCCCATTCATTCCACCCGGATTTCTCCTCAATACCATTTCAGAAGGTCTCAACAACTGGTTGGCCTTAGCATTCTTGTTTTTTGCAAGTGTAACTATGTATGACGACAGACAACATAGAAGGAAATATAATATAGTCTTCACAAGGAAACTACATAATGTTTGACTCAGTAGCTTGATAATATCTTGTTTTGGGGGAAACATATGACAACCCCGTGTAGCCGTGAATAGCATCTGTTTCGGTATAGATGGTTACGAGTTCATATAAGGGAAGTTATCTCACTTATCTGTACTTTGATTATTACACAAAGTATTAAGCAATTGTTTTTCTTTTATTAGAGTTCAAGAAGTGGATATTACCCGAGTAAGATGCCTTTAAGCGTGTCGGGACTAAGTTTTATTGAAGGCATCAAAATATATAATCCTTTTGTTAATCAACTTTGTTGAGCAAAGAGATTTGAGCTCTATAAGGAGTGTAATATAAAACAGAAAAGAAGAAGATATGTCAATGAATGCATTACCTCTTCCTTAAGGCAACATAGTGCTTTTAATACATTAACTCATATTGAGAGATGTGGAAAAAAAGAGTTCAGTTAAACATATTAAATTTATGTTAATAGATATGAAAAGAAAAACAACCAAAAACAAGTCAGCTTTTGTATTCTGTTAACACATCAAGCTTAAAGAATAGGAGAAATGAAGTTTATTTCTTGTGTTGTGTTCTTCACCCCATGATACATCCGTATATGTCAAAAAGAAGAAAAGCTAGCCTACATATGATGCCAAAAGACTAGCCAATAATCACATGCAAGACTACAAACAAAAGACAATTAAATAGTAAAAGCAAATCACTAATTATATAGTAAAAGAAATCCCAATCCTTCTCCAAATCTCTCTTTCCATACTTCCACACGCAACCATGCAAGTTGGTCAGTAGAGGAGAGGTGCGTCGTTCAAAGAACGCCTTTCCCTATTTCATCTCGGACAAAATGACAATCAATCTCAATATGTTTGATGCGTTTATGAAACATCAAATTATCAACAATATGTGAAGCAACTTGATTGTTACAAAACATATTCATAGGCCATGAGTGGTGCACCCCAAGAGATAAAAAAAAGATATTTCACCCACTTGACCTCAGAAACAATGGTTGCCATAGCACGATATTCAACTTCCGCAAATAACAAGGGAAAAAATTCTACCTTTTGTCCACCGTGGAATACGAGAACCCCCTAAACAAATATAATAACCTATGACAAAACCTTTTGTTAAGGGGAAATCGGCCCAATCAAAACCATAGTGGGCATGAAGACTTAGATCACAATCAGTGTGTGTTAGAATATAAATAACTGTTCCTAAGCTAGAATAAAGAGAATATTTTGGATATATTTTCGTATATATTAGTTTTGGTAGTTTCTTTGTATTGGTAGTTTCCTTGTGTAGGGATTCACAACTTGTGAACCTATGTGTGTGTGTGTGTGTGTGTGTGTGTGTGTGTGTGTATATAGACACACACACACACACAGATACATACATATACATACACATACATACATACATATACATATACATACATACATATATATATATATATATATATATATATATATATATATATATATATATATATATATATATATTTTCATGAACATGCAAACCATCCATTTTCCCAATCATCAAGAACTCGGTAACAAACAGACCCCACACATCATCGAAATCAAACAGAACAGTAACAGAATCTCAAACACCAAGACGGATTACAGTATACCCTTTTAACATCAGAGCACTACCGCCTAACAGACCAAACGGAGGAACGTTAAAACAATGACCATGGATGAAATTGGACAAAAGCTCAATTCCTCCAGTTTCCGTCATCACCGCCACCCCTGCTGGAATAGCCGCCGCCGCCGCCGTTTCCATAGCCTCTATCACGGCCACCTCCATAGCCTCCTCCGCCTCCCTCACGGCGGCCACCACCATACCCACCGCCGCCGCCACCATAGCCTCCTCCGCCACCTCCCTCACGGCGACCATGCCAAGCCACCGACGAAACATCTGTACTCCACATCCGCCATTTCTATGATCTTAGAGAGCCGATGAGAAGGATGAATGAAGCGGTGGAGAAGATGATCATATATATATGTGTGTGTGTGTGTGTGTGTGTGTGTGTGTGTGTGTAAATTCTAAATTGTAAATTGTATCGGAGCCAATTGTAAATTGTAAATTGTAAATTGTAAACACAAGAAATACAAGAGAATTTTCTCCTAATTAATTCTTTCGTGGTATCGGAGCCAAAACCCTAGAAAATTTCCGCGGCTATTGTTCTTGATCGACCGGCATCGCGTCCATCGATCATCACCCGCTGATGCTGCCAAACGCCGAAAAGGTCGACCGTTGTTGAAGAACGGTCAAGGGCATCGACCATCCTCACGGCAGTTTTTCTAATCGGTGTTGCAATTTCGCTCTGCTATTGACCTACCATTCGGTATGTCCGAAGAAGTAAGCATGAAGATTATTTCCAACAGAAAGAATGAGGAACGAGAGGAAGAGGAAGTTGGAGTGCGCCGTCGACGCATCTCCCCGTACGATTTATCCCTGAGCAACAATCCGGGTATGATTCTAACCCATGTTGTTCTAAAGGGGGATAATTATGATGAATGGTCCAAATCCCTGCGTTTGGCTCTTCGAGCGCAGAAGAAGTTTGGATTCGTTGATGGAACAATTGGGATGCCTGATCCCGATTCGGATGATTTTGATGATTGGTGGACAAACCATTCGTTGTTGGTCTCTTGGATTCGGAACTCAATTGATCCAGCCTTGAGATCCAGCATATCGTTTGTGGAAAAGGCTTCAGATCTATGGAGTGATTTGAAGGCTCGCTTCTCTGTAGTTAATGGACCAAGGGTTCAGCAATTGAAGCGGGACTTAGCGGAATGCAAATAGAAGAATATTTCTATAATGGAATATTATGGGAAGTTGAAGAAGCTGTGGGGTGATCTAGCAGATTTAAAGAGGTTCCCAGTCTGCACGTGTAGGAATTGCACGTGTGACTTGCCGGAGAAGCTTGCACAGATGCGTGAGAGGGAACATTCTCATCAATTTTTGATGGGATTGAATGATGCTTTATATGGAACCTTGCGGTCAAATTTACTGGCCCAGGAAATCATACCACCTGTAGCAAGAACATACAATATTCTTGTCCAAGATGAAACAGCACGAAACAGAATGCACAAAGGAGAAAGCAGTGAAGCCGGTGCGTCTGTGTTTGCCGTACAGAACAAGATGGAGGTTAAGGAGAATGTGTGCTCTCATTTTGGCAAAGCAGGGCATGAGGTTGAGGCGTGCTGCAAACTAATCGGATACCGAGAGGGATGGGTTTTCACAGATCAGGCTGGAAGAGGAAGAGGGAATAATCGTGGAAGAGCTCGCGGTTCAGGAAGAGGAGCGGGATGGTCGACCGTCACGGGTGTTCGTGGTGAGGTGCACGCGGTCAAGGGAGAAGGACTGTCTCCGCTGCCCAATTTCGAGGATTTGACGCCTGAGCAGTGGAACGCAGTTCATCATGCTCTTTTGCTTTCTTCCACACACACTCCTCTAAAACTTTAAGGTATTCCTGTATTACCTTGCTGGATAATTGATACTAGTGCGTCCAACCATATGACAGGTGATCTATTGTTGTTATATGATGTGGTGGGGGTGTCCCCATGTGAAATTGGTTTGCTTGATGGAAAACAGGCTGTATCTGTTCAATCTGGAAAGGTTGACTTAACAATGACTGTGACTTTGCAGAATGTGTTGTTTGTTCCATGTTTGAACTGTCATTTGATTTTTGTGTCACAGCTGACAAGGGATATGAATTGTGAGGCAAAGTTCACCAATGATTTGTGTATCTTACAGGACCTAAGGTTGAGGACAATGATTGGTGTGGGTAGACAAAAAGGAAGACTATACTATTTAAAGGAGGAAAGGGGGATGGCGTGTAGTGCTACGAAGGAGAATTCGTTTGACCTTTGGCACAAACGTCTAGGACACCCTTCTTCACATGTTTTATCCTTAGTTCCTGTAGTTGGATCGAATAAGAGTAGTTATAGTCATTGTGATGTCTGTTTACGTGCCAAACAAACTCGTGCTAGTTTTCCCATTAGTTTTCATCAATCTATGGATAAATTTGCTATGGTGCATTGTGATTTATGGGGTCCCTATCAGACGCCGAGTTTAGATGGATCTACGCTGTTTTTGACTATTGTGGATGATTTTTCTCGTGGTGTATGGGTGTATTTGCATGATTCTAAGCGTACTGTAGGAAGTGTTTTCAAACAATTTTGTGTCATGATTGAATTCCAGTTTGAGAAGAAAATAAAGTGTGTTCGCAATGATAATGGCATAGAATTTGAGTGCTTGAATGAATACTTCTAGGCAAAAGGAATTTTTCACGAGACATCTTGTGTGTCTACACCACAACAAAATGGTAGTGTGGAACGTAAAAATCGGCATATTCTCAATGTGGTTCGTGCTCTAAGATTTCAAGCAGGGATTCCCATAGAATTCTGGGGAGATTGTATACAAACTGCGGCCTATTTGATCAATCGGACACCCTCGTCGTTGCTAGGGGGTGACACCGTATGAGAGGCATTATGGGAGGCCACCGCTGCTAACTCACATTCGTGTTTTTGGTTGCAGATGTTATGTCCACAATTTGAAGAGGGGTGAAGACAAATTTGCACCCAGAAGTATTCCTGGAATATTTTTGGGTTATCCACAAGGGAAGAAGGGATGGCGCATCTATTTTCCGGACACCGGGAAGATCAATGTGTCCCGTGATGTTGTGTTCTATGAAAACATTTTTCCTTTCTTGTTTTCCATAGGTGAAACATCCAAAGAGGATGCGTTAAGAAGCAACCCGACTATTGATTACTTTGAAGATGCTGAAGAAATACCCACATAGGACCATATGAACCGTTCCTTGAGGAACGGTCGACCGCCGGGATATGGAGATGTAGAAGAGCTACAAACGGTTGACTTAGTGGACCGTGCTGATGACCACGGTCGACCGTCGGAAAGGCAGTATGACGGGTCTTCAGGAGATAAATCGACGGTCGACCGCCACATGGAGGATGGTCGACCGTCCTTGAGGCAGAAAATTGATGATCCAGCGCAGCTACAGAAGGTCGACCGTGCCACCGATTTCGGTCGATCGTCCACTTCTCAGCAAGCAGTGGAGACCCTGGGGCATAGTCAATGGGAAAGACGTCCAAATGTGAGGCTTGCGGATTATGTTACACATGTTATTAAATCACATATCGGAGAAAGATGCAGATATCCACTCTCCTCATATGTCACGTATGAGAAGTTCTCTTATAAGCACAAGTGTTTTTTCACAGCACTTGACGAGGAAGTGGAGCCCACGAGTTTCGAAAAGGCATTCCAGGATGAACGATGGAGGTAGGCTATGCGAGAGGAGATTGATGCATTGGAGGCTAATGGAACGTGGCCTCTTGTCTCCCCTCCGCGTCATAAAAAGCTCCTTGGCTGCAAGTGGGTGTATAAAATCAAGTGCAAGTCCGATGGAAGTGTGGAAAGATATAAGGCCAGATTGGTTATACTTGGTAATCATCAGGTTAAGGGACTTGACTACAAGGAAACATTTGCTCCTGTGGTCAAGCTAACTACAGTACATACTCTTCTAGATGTTGCCACTGCGAAGGGTTGGGAGTTGCATCAAATTTCTTCATGGAGATCTTGAGGATGAGGTGTACATGAGACTGCCACCAGGTTTTTCAAATTCTTCTAATGTGGTGTGCAAACTGAAGAAATCTCTATATGGTTTAAAACAAGCTCCAAGGTGTTGGTTTGCCAAGTTGTCTGGAGCTTTGAAACGCTATGAGTTTGTCCAGTCTGTTCCTGATTATTCCTTATTTTCTTTTGTTAGAAAGAAAGGAGTAATACATGTTTCGGTTTATGTTGATGATTTGATTATTGCTGGGGATAATTCAAAGATGGTGAGCAAGTTCAAAGCATATATGGGAGATTGCTATCATATGAAAGAGTTGGGAACACTGAAATACTTTCTCGGCATTGAGGTGTAAAGAAGCACGTCTGGAATTTTTCTCTGCCAACAGAAGTATGTTTTGGATATTATTACTGAGGTCGGGTTGTTAGGCGCCAGGCCATTGGGTGCACCCATGGAGCCAATTCATCATTTGGTGCGTTTCCAAGCCCCCGTTCTTACGGATCCAGAACCATATCGCCGTTTGGTAGGGTGATTAGTCTATCTATATGTCACACGACCAGAGCTTTCCTACGCAGTGTGCACAGTTTAGCACAATTTTTTAAGGAACCAAGGGAGGATCAGTGGTTCGTTATTTGAAAGGATGTCCTGGGCAGGATATTTTCCTCTCTGCAGACAATAGTCTTCAGCTCACAGGATGGTGTGATTCAGACTAGGCAGCATGTCCTTTGACACGGCGGTCGCTGACAGGCTGGTTTGTGCAACTTGGAGAATCACCTGTTTCGTGGAAAACAGAGAAACAGACAAAAGTGGCTCGTTCGTCTACTGAGGCAGAGTATAGGGCTCTTGCTGTCCTTACTTGTGAGTTGAAGTGGTTGAAAATTTTTTTGCGGGGCCTAGGGGTTGAACATAACAACCCTATGACCATTCGTTGTGACAGCAACGCGGCCCTTCACATTGCTGCTAACCCAGTTTTTCACGAACGCACAAAGCATATTCAGATTGATTGTCACTTTGTTTGTGATGAGCTTTTACGAGGAGAGATTCGTGTCCTTCATGTACCTACTACGCATCAGCTTGCAGATATTCGCACGAAGGCACTTGGGAAGTCACGGCTGGAGTTTCTTATTCCCAAGTTGGGCATTTCTTCATTACATGCTCCAACTTGAGGGGG